CCCCGCCCCGCGGTGCCGCAAGGGTCGGGAGCCTTCAGCCTCGCGCAGGTGGCCCGCCCTCCCGCTCCTTTCAGCCGCCTTCTGGGGCGGAGTGAGAGCCCTTACTACTGGCAGTGCGTTTAAGGGAGCTGATCAGCCCCACCGCTTTCGGGAGGCGGCTGACCGCTTCTGAGGTGGTGCCCTCTTCCCTCTCTCCCCTTGGGCTTCTTCGGTTCCCCTCCCTCCCCTTCGGCTTTGGTTAGGGAAGGTTTACGCTGCAGGATGACGCCTGCTGAAACAAGGAGACGATGGTTTGGGCTCCAGGCGGCGGCGTTTCAGCAACAGTCTCCCTGCTCCACGGATCCTCCCTGTTGCCTCGGGGGAAGCTCGTGTTCCTGGCAGATGCATCTCGCCTTCGTGCGAGGCGGTGACGGTGCTCTACGTCCAGTGAAACTCCTCGCGCTGACCGTTCCGTACCTCGTCTTCCTGCCGAGAGATCGCTGCTGGCCCCAGGCTCACCTTCCTGCACCCGCCTCTGGGAGGGGGCCTGCCTCTGAAGCTAACCTTATCTCGGCAGCGCTCGAGGGCTTTTGCAGTCCATTACGCAATGCAAGGTTACCTAGTGTCCAACCATCTTCAGCACTGGTTTATGTTCAGTTCGCTTCTTAATCTCCCCAGGGGGACACTAGCCCCCGCTTTGATAGGTTCTTCCCAATTACACAGAAGCCAGCAGCATTCCCACTAGCACTCAGGCTATCTAGAAAAACACGGTGGGTTGACACAGCTTGCTCGCTCACCCCCACCCCAGCAGGATGGGGAAGAGAATCGGTAAGGTAAAAGTGAGAAAACTCACGGATCAAGATAAAGACTGTTTAATAGGTAAAATGGAGCTGCACACACAAAGCAAAATACGGTACTTAATTCACTGCTTCCCATTGGCAGGCAGAGCCTCAGCACACTAACGGTTACTTGGGGAGACAGATGCCATAACCACAAATGTTCCCCTGCCATATGGTGGAACATCCCTTTGGTCAGTCGGGGTCAGCTGTCCTGGCTGTGTCCCCTCTCAACCTCTTGCCCACCCCCAGCCGGCTCACTTGCGGGGAGTACAGGGGAGAAAGAAGCACAAAAAGAAAACCCTGCTCAGCAATAGGCAAAACATGGGTGTGTCATCAACACCGCTAGTCACAAATCCAAAACGCAGCCCCATACAGGCTGCTATGAAGACAATTAATTCCATCCCAGCCAGAGCCTGTACACAGAAGAAAATCTAGCTCTTGGCACCAGTATCTGCTGAGATCCACAGCAGCCAAATAAAGACCAGCTCTTAGAATCACGGAATGGTTTGGGTTGGAAGGGACCTCTAAAGGTCATCGAGTCCAGCCCCCCTGCCGTGGGCAGGGACACCTTTCACTAAACCAGGTTGGTTGCTCAAAGCCCCGTCCAACCTGGCCTTGAACACTTCCAATCATGGGACATCCACTGCTTCTCTGGGCAGCCTGTTCCAGTGCCTCACCACCCTCATAGTGAAGAATTTCTTCCTTACCCACTTTATTCTTCCGGAGAAGAATTGTACAAGGTCAGTCCATTTTCATAAGCTAGAACACCAGGATGAAATAACCATGCCATAAAAATTAGGCCAATGACCAGTATCCCCTAGGACCACTGGGTGAAAGACCAGACTTGGGCAAGTCTATCAAGCTCAGGGCAAGACTAGTCACATAGGTCTGAAGCTTCTAGCTTTCCACCTGCTACCACAACACAGTTTGCCAAATTGCTTCCTACTTCCCCTGTAACGAAACACTGGTCTCCAAGAACAAACAGAAGGCAGTCCTACAGTACGTGTATGCCATAGGCTGCATCATCATCCATCCGCAATCTCAGACAAGCGGTCTCCTACGGAGGCAGCCCCTGTGTAAAGTTGCCTTGAAAACCTTACTTCACCCTCAAAATAAGTGGGCAATGTTGCTGCCTTCTTTTGCCCAGCACTGATTGCTCGATCAGTGTTTCGCCCTTAGCCCACACCCAATCAAGCCTGCTTTTGTACACTGTCACGGGTACAACCATGCTGCCAAGGGTAAAACTTTTTTTAAAAGGTGCTCGAAACAAGCCAAGCACTAGCATAACAACAGTGTGTACAGCAGTCCAGCTCATTCCCCTTCTTTTATATGTGAGAGCCGGCATAGCTCTGTGTGAGCTGGCCCCGTTTAACAACACTAAACCAGTTAAAATTAGTTCAACTTTTGGGAACATTGGCTCTAAAAGAACGCTTTGCTAGTGAAAAAAATGGGCAGGTCTATCAGGCACACGGAGGGACACCACAGTTGGCAGAGTTTCTGGCTAAACAGAATTGCACTTTTTCAGGAATGATCTTGGCTTTCCCATGTGAAAAATGTTTCTGGGTAAGTAAGTCTAAAGAGTTGGACACTCACTAAGGAAATGTTCTCACAGCAACTTCTTTTAATATTAAACAAAGCACCCTAAATTGGTCGTTTAAAATCCAGGGGACCCAGTCACATAGCATAGAAAACTACACGCAACTTTAGTTCTTGCTTTGATAATACAAGTTTAGGAACAGGGCCAAGTCTGGAAGCCACCAGGCCGGCCAGCTCATTGAACTATCTCACTTAAAAAATTTTCCTGCTTTGCAAGGTGGAGAGGAATAAACCATAGAGTGTATTATACTGAGGCTGGTAATAAGTCATCGATTACCTGATGTTTGTTGTCTTCTCTCTCCATCTTTGTGCTGTAAGCTCACGTAGTCCCTTTATTTAAGATAGTCCCTGAGCTATTGACACATCATTGCCTGTGGTGAAATGTCCAAGAACAACCCAGCATCCTTGAGTTACCTGTTAAGACAGAGAAATCACTTAATGAGCAATCCTAGCCTTGAAATTCTGTCAACAACTTTAAAAAATGTAAATTATGCAATGAACTCATTGTATAATGCCTATATGTATAATATGCCTATTACATAACTGGAGTAATTAATTTCAACAAGCTCGCACATAGATTTGTGGGGTGGAAGGCTTTTTGCTATTAATTCACCACCAGTGAATAGAGAGTGCTGCACGCTTGGTCTGAAAGCAATTTTGATTGATAAAGGTGACAAAATGGGGATTCGGACCCAAAGCCTGTGAGATAAGTGAGAAAAAAATCCAAGTTTTAGTAACAAGGAAGAAAAATCTTACATCCAGTTTATATCTAACTGACCCTCCCTACTGTTCGTGTCATTTCAATGTGTGAAGATGGCTGGTCGCACGTTTCACCAGACGTTTCCCTGCAGGAGCTCTGCAGGGAGGGCTCTGCTCTGTGCCCTTGAAGTGTTGTGACACAGAGCTGAGACAAAGGCCTGGCCCTGCACGGGCGTCCCGTTTCCCCGACACAGCCAGGTGTATAAGAAGGGTTTTTAAAGGGAGTTGAGCAGAACTTAGGTAGGTGGCTGGGAAGAACACGTTTACCCTCCATTTCTATCTCTGTTTCTCTCCACCTCCTCCATCTGCCTGACCAACTGTCTTTTGTGTCTGCTGCGTCTTATCTTCAACAAGTGCAGAAAAAGGTTCTTTTTCTGAGATACCTTTAAGGTATGGAGGTGCACTATAGAGCCTCCGAGCCCAAGGTGACAAGCAGCTCAGCAGCTGCAGGACTGTGTTGTCGCTGTCTTTTACACGACTGGTGAGGGGATTTGGAGGTGTTCTCTGTGTGTGTGTAAGCCACTTTTGCTCACCTATTTTGTCCAGTCCTACAGGACTGGGATACAGTTTGGGATAACGTTTGTTTTCTGCATTGCACTACTGCATAGCTCCTCAGGCTACAGGGCAGAACAATGGGAGGTAGCTGCAGCTGGGGAATTTAAAAGAATTTGCATTTCAAACCAGAAAAAGTAGACATCCTCTTAGGGTTTTTTTAGGCATCTGTAGTAAGGTTACCATGCACCTCAGCTAGGCAGAAGAGAGAATCTGTATCACCACAGAAGGAAGCGAATCTCAGAAACTACCCCTTGCGGAACACTGAAGTGCATTTTTGACTCATTTTTGCTTTTCCCAGCTATCTTTCTCACTATATAGTCTTTCATTCTAACTGTATGATGAGCACATTAACTAAAGCTGACCTGTAGACAAGAGAAAACCTATTTTTTGCTCTTGGAAGCATAAGGAAGCTTTTGAACTGCTACCCAAGCCTTTTGTTGACTATTTTCTTCCTTTATTTCAACACAGGCCTCTTATCCGCCGTCGGGGAAGTACGTGCAATGCCTACGCGCTGCAGCGGCTACCTGGGCTGTGGTTCCAGCTTCAGCGACAGCCAGGTCCCCCCTGGATTGCACTGTGCCCCGAAGTCACCCCCGTTCAACTGCAGGGCTGTGCTCCACGCCAGCTCCGATGTTATCCGGGCCGAAACAAATTATTACTGCGCTGGGAGAGTATGCTTACGCCGTTATTTCCCATTTGCAGGTGTTCGCCTTGCGCCAGTATTTATGTAATTTATTTGGGGGAACTTTACGCGTACACCTTCCCCTGCGTAGGAAACCGGAGGGGAGGCACCGCGCCCTGGGTACAACTACAGCGAGGGCTGCTCCCGCC